TCAGGCTCAGTGCCCCCAGACTCCGCACCCCCAGTCTCAGCACCTCCTGGGTCCTCACGCTCAGGCTCCGCACCCCCAGGCTCAGCACCCCCACACTCCGCACCCCCAAACTCTGTACCCCCAGGGACAGCACCACCCCCAGCAGGACCTGAGTCACCAGTGACCTCAACAGGCGCAGGTACGGGAGGGTCTACCTGAGAGACACCTGAAGGAGCAGGACCTGGCGCGGGGAGGGGGTCTACCTGGGGAGGACCTGGGGCGAGAAAGAGCGGCGGGGGGGGGCGAGGGGCAGTGCGGTAGGGAAAGAGACGGTAAAAGGGAACTGACTCGTCAAAGGTGACGTCCTGAGACGGAAAGACACGGCGCGAGGCGGGGTCGTAAAACTGCCAGCCAGGCGCGTCAGGGACAAAGCCAAGGAAGACGCAGGGAATGGCGCGAGGGGAGAGCTTGTCCGCGGTGGTATCGCGGACAAAGGCACGAGAACCCCAGACCCGGAAACGCGACGCATCGCCAACCTTCCCCGTCCACAGCAGCGTGGGCGAGGTCTCCGGCAAGGAGACACGGGGCCAAAGGTTGAGCTGATGCGCGGCGTACCGGACCGCAAACGGCCACAGAAAATGGGGGCCAGCCGCATGGATCATGGAGGTACGAGCGACCTCCATGACTAAGCCAATGCGGCGCTCAGCAACTCCATTCTGCTGCGGAGAGGCCGGAAGCGTGAAAGTCTGGCGGATGCCGTGCTCCGCACAGAAGGCTGCCAAGAGGTCTGAGGAGAACTCACCACCTCTGTCAGAGTGCAGACGCAGGACAGGAAAGTCCGACTGGAACTGCTCGCGGAGCTAGAGACGAGCAGCGCGGATCCAGGGGATCAAAACATCAGGGACATCCCCCTTGCGATGCAAGGGGAAGACCGTGGTGTAACGCGTGTAGTCGTCGACAACCAGCAGGAAGTACCGCTCGTGGCCCTGTCCACGGACGCGGGCTGGGCCCCACACGTCCAGGTGGAGAGTCTGAAGTGGAGCCTCTGTGGGAGGGAACGAGGAGGAGTGAGGAGCGGCGCGCTGCCGCCCCTCGACGCAAGGAATGCAGGGCGGCGCAGGCGAGGGAGGGAGGGCAGGAAGAGACCTGGGAAGACCAGAGACCAGGAGGCGAGAGTGCATGCTACGAAGGCGAGGCAGGGAGGGGTGACCAAGGCGGTGGTGCCCCAGGAGAGTGTCGTGCGACAGCCGGCGACACTCACACTGGGTAGCTACCTGAGCAGACGCGTGTAACTGGGGAGACAAAGGGGCGGAGCGCGACGCAGTGGTGAGGGTGTACAGACTGGACCCTGGCGCACGAGTGAACGTGGCCAGGTGGCGGCCGGTCCGGGAGCACGTGCAAATCGCCACACGCTGCCGGCCAGGGGTGAAGGTGTCAACCCCCGCATCCTGGAGGACAGCGTTGCTCACCAAGTTCGTAGAGAACGAGGGGAGGTGGAGACCAGACAGCTCACCAGACGGGACCGCCGGACACGGAAGCACAGTGGAAGACCGTGCAAGCACTGGGCCCCCAGAGGGGTCAGCCAGTGAGACAGGAACAGGTGCAGGGAGGGGAGTGACTGTGGTACTGTCACGAAAGAAACAGCGGGAAGCACCAGAGTCAAGTGTAAAGGTGTGCAAGGCCTGTGCAGGCGCAGTACCAAGGGGAGCAGACTCACAAGCACCTAGTGCTGCAGGCGCTATACCAGGGGCTATACCAGGGTCCGGTGGCACACACAAGTAACAGTCACCCTCAGCACTAACAGACAATGCATACATGGCAGCAAGAATAGCCTCATAGTCAAGATCAAAGATAGGCACATCACGCCTAAGCAGGTCTGCCCAGTTGGGGAACTCAGGAGCATCAGGAAACTTGACGCGCCAGGCGTCGCTAAGTCGAGCGAAGCAGCGCTGCTCAGTGTGAAACCCTGTGCACTGGCGACCAGCGCGGGGACCTGTGCGAATGATATAGGGGCAGCGACCAGGACCCCCAGAAGCCCCACGCCCGGCATACCAGTCAAGAAGCTGCTGGGAAGTGGGGGTCTGGCGCTGACGCTGCTGCTGCTGCTGCTGCTGCTGCTGCTGGCCCTGACCACCACTGCCACCACCGCTCCCTCCTCCCCCACCGCCGCTGCTGCCACTTCCACCACTCCCAGTGCCTCCGCCGCCCCCACCACCACCTCCACCACCTCCACCCCCACGACCACCTCCACCACCTCCACCTCCCCCGCCGCCTGCACCACCGCCACCTCCACTGCCACCCCCACCTCCCCTGCCACCCTTGCCGCCCCTGCCGCTGCGACGCTTCCCACTAGGAGCGGAAGCAGCCCCGACCTCCTCAGCACCAAGGTAATCGTGAGCAGCAGCTGCGGAGACGTAGGAGGGGGTGAGAGGGGAGGGGGAGCACCCCTCAAAGAGGGGAGAGCGAGGAGTGCCACGAGCAGCACCTACAGCGAGGATGTTCTTCTCTGCTACGAGGAGGTGCTTCTCGAAGTCGTCGACAGTGAGAGTGGTGGGGTCTAGCGCTAGGAAGTGGTCCCTGACGGAGCTAAGAGTGTCAGGGAGGCGGGTGACGAGGAAATAGAGAGTGAAGTACATCGGGGGGGGGTTTGCGGCGCAGAACTCGGCTGAAAGGGCAGCACGAAAGCGAGTGTCAGTAGCGCGCAGGTGGGAAACGAGGTCCTCAGCAGTGGTGAACGAGGAAAGGTCGGGGAACAGGTAGGGTAGCATGAGCCGACCTATGGCTGCAGTGGCCGAGGAGGAGTAGCGCGCAACTACAGCGTCGTACAGCGTCTTAGCATTTTTGTGCTGGCTGAAATGCACGCGCTCAGTAATCGGCAGATGGTTCCTAATAGCTAGGCGTGCAGCAGCATCGCGAGTCTGCCACTGCGAGCGTTCGAGAGCAGGAGCATCGGCAGCAGGAGCAACGGCAGTGCCAGACACGTAATCGAATAGTGAAACTCCCTCTTTGGCATCGGTTAGAAGGAACAGTTGGAGGTCGTCTAACCACACAGCGAACTCTATGGGGCGACCGTCAGGCTCGAACGCGAGAACGTTAGGCGTCGTCATAATGGCAGCAGGCAAAGGCAGTAGGCAGCAGGCAGCAGACAAGAGGCAGTAGGCACCAGGCCGCAAGCAAGGACAGAGGCAGCAGGCAGCAGGCAGGAGGCAGCAGGCAGTAGGCAGCAGGCAGTAGCGGCCGCACGCGAGCTCCTAAAGCAGCGCGCTAGGCAGCAGCGGGCCGCGCAGGCGGCCGACGTGACGCGCGGGCGGCGGACGCGGCGCGCGGCGCGGCGGCGGGCCGCGCTGGCGACAGACGCGGCGCGCGGGGCAACGGCGGGCTGCACGCGACGGCGGGCTGCGCGCGGCGGCGGGCTGCGCGGGCTCGACGCGGGCCGGCGCGCGGCGCTGCAGTAGTGGCGCGCGCGAAAAAGGGACGCGCGCGCGAGCAGCAGGCAAGGCAGGCAGGCAGTAGGTGAGGTAACACAGTTACGGGTGGGCCCTATTCTTAGGTCCTGGAGACCTCCTGCTCTAGATACCATGTCGAGACTAAGGCAAGAATGATGTCATTAGGTCAAGGTTGGGGTACAAAACTAGAGTGTCGAGAATATGTCAGTACCCCCTAAGGCTAGCCCCAATATAGCCTAGATAATAATATGCATATGTTTTGACACGTTTCACGCTGACCAATAAAAAATACAGTACAAGTTGCTGAAAGGCGACTCGCATTTGGGACACAACACAGTTTATGTTGTTTTTGGGTGTCACAAAGTGATTGAGACACAAGTGTCCCCACAGGAATGTACCCTAAGTCTACACTACAGGCAGTTACAATATAATGCATACAATTATATTTTGACAATTTTCCCTTCCGAGAGTAACCAATCGGAGGCAGTTGGGACTAGCAACATGGGACTCGATATGGGAAAAGGGAAAATATGTCACAAGTAACCAACATGGGACTCGATAACGTGAATGGTAAAAAAGTAACGCGTATGGTCATTGAATCGGGTTTGCTGACGGGTTTGGTAAGTGGGGTCACGGATTCAGTCACTAACAACAGGTAAAAAATCACGCGAATGGTAAAAAATGTAACTCCCGCAAAAAAAATCTTGAAACTCTACAAAATTCCCGCTCGCAACAACCAATAAGCTAACTTGTAAAAAAACTAAAACCCAATCGGAATCGGATGCGGTTTGGGAACGGATCAACCCTAAACACCTGGCGAGTTGTGTTGAGGGTTGATTCATCCGAAAATGCATCCAGGTTCGTTTTGGGTATTATCTTTTTTGGGCGGGAGTTTCATCTGTGACCATTCGCGTTATATTTTCCCAGTTGATTGTGACTGATTCCGTGAAACGTTGTATCAAACATGTGAAAACACCCTTTGCAGTGACCGTACCCGTTATTTTTTTACCAAACATATTATCGAGACCCTTGTTGATTACGAGTGGCATATTTTCCCCTCTCGGAATGTGCAGATTCATGGGTTTATGTATGTAGGTACTACGACATATTTACAATCTTCTGTGTTTTCTTACACCTGCTTTTGAAAGCCAGTCTGTGAAGATTGTTGATCAGAAAGAAAGATAGACCTTCACAAGAACAGATCTATTATCCTAAAATTACATATACCATTCCGGAATGAAATACATCAAGCAGGCGCATCTTTCCATTGCCGGCAAGCTTTAGACATCCCAAACTGATACTCCACCTAGCTTCCCACTATTCTAGAACCCATTGAAAATACTCCACACCTCAGCATCGTTGCCCTGCCCCGATTGAGTAGCCCACATAGTTATACCACTGCCTCTCTACCATCCGAACCACACCACCACCACCTCACATATGTTTGCTGTATCGTCCAGACCAACGGTCCTGGAATGGCAGCTGCAATCTCCGAAGCAGCAAAACAGGTACGGCAGTGATACCCACCAGACCACTAGTGAAGGATCAGCAGTCTTATACCTTCCGAACCACAATTTACACCTTCCGAACCACGACCACAGGGCAAGCAGCATGATGCACACAGTAGTCGCTCACACTGCCCAGGAACGCCCTGGTAGGGGGAGGGAGGCGAGGGGGAGCGGGGGGGGGTGGGAGGGAAGGGGAAAGGGAGGTTGCAGCATGGAGCATGGTGCACACAGTAGTCGCTCACACTGCCCAGGAACGCCCTGGGGGAGGAGGGAAGAGTGTGAAGAGAGGGGGGAGAGGGCAGTGGAGGTTGGAGGTGAACTCAGTAGTCGCTCACACTGCCCACGAACGCCCTGGTAAGGGGAAGAAGGGGGTGAGGGGGCGAGGGAAAAGAAAAAAGGCAACGGGGTTGTTGCAAGCTGTGAAGACCCCAGGGTCGAAGGGACCAATGTAGCATGCAGTATGGTGCACACAGTAGTCGCTCACACTGCCCAGGAACGCCCTGTGAGGGGGAGGAGGGGAACGGGGTTGTGGGGAGGGAAACAACAAGGGAGGCTGTAGCATGCAGCATGGAGCACACAGTAGTCGCTCACACTGCCCAGGAACGCCCTGTGAGGGGGAGAGGGAGCGGGCGGGGGTGGGGTGGGGGGAGGAGAGGGAAAACAGGTGGGGAAAGGGCAGAGAAGGTTGCGGCGTGGAGCACACAGTAGTCGCTCACACTGCCCAGGGACGCCCTGTGAGGGGGGGTTGTGGGGAGGGGAACAGCAAGGGAGGTTGTGTTGTGGCATGGAGCATTGTGCACAGCACACAGGAGTCGTTCACACTTCTCGAGCACACATGAACATTGCATTACGTGGAGCAACAGTCGCATACACTGCTTAATAATGCTCGGCAGTGCTCACACTGTTAAGGAACTCACGTGCGTATGTCTCGTAACATTTTCCACATGATTCACGAAATGACTTTTGGGAAGTCGCCAACCTTGACGCGTGCAACAGCATCCTGCACTTCCTACTCAATAAATTACTGCCTGAATGCGTCCGCGCACTGGAATTCCCCTCCTCGTCTACGAAATTTCGCAAACTCGAGGAGGGAAACTCGAGAGCGCGGACGCTTTTAGGCAGCAATTTCTTTAGTGAGAAGTGCAGGATGTTGTCGCACGCGTCAGGGTTGGCGACTTCAAACATGTTCAAACCAAGACAACTATTGGATGCGACCTTATCCTTTTGAAAGCTGTGATGGAATTTCTATTTATTTCTGAACCCTTTCTGGATGTGAGCATCCGGATTTATAACAAGATCTCTCACACCGACCTTCGCTCCACTACTTGACTCTGCCGCAGCCATGGCTGCCAATCACCAGCAACTGCACGCCCAGTTGCTGGCAATGTGTGGAGTGGAGGACTGTTGACAGCACCGCTGCCACAACACTCACATATACTGACAGCCCCACCAACACGCACCTCTTGACGGTGCCGTAGCCATGGCTGCCGATGACCAGCAGCTGCACGCCCAGCTGCTCCACGGCGTCACAGATGGACTCCCTGGGCTCTCCCTCTATCACGTCCGCCTCTGCTGATACCTGTGGGATGCGGTGAAGAGGGGTGAGGAGGCATGCAGAGGCATTAGAGGCATGGAGAGGCATGGAGAGGGATGGAGAGGGATGGAGAGGGACTGGGAAGCATGAGTACTGCAGCTCTCCACGCCCACCTGCTCCACGGCATCACTGATGGACTCCCTGGGCTCGCCCTCTATCACGTCTGCTTCCGCTGATACCTGGTGGGGTGGGGAGGGGTGGAGAGGGATGGAGAGGGGTGGAGAGGCACTGGGGGCCATGAGTGCTGCACCTCTCCACGCCCAGCTGCTCCACGGATCACAGATGGACTCCCGGGGCTCGCCCTCTATCACGTCTGCTTCCGCTGATACCTGGTGGGTTTGACCGTTGATGATTAGGGGCTTGAAAACGCGCAGCAGAGAGGTATGGGAGGCATGCGAAGGAACGGGGAGGCATGGGGGGGGATGGGGAGGAATGATGGGACAAGAGGTGGCATGGGGGGGGATGGGGAGGAATGATGGGACAAGAGGTGGCATGGGGGGGGATGGGGAGGAATGATGGGACAAGAGGTGGCATGGGGGGGGATGGGGAGGAATGATGGGACAAGAGGTGGCATGGGGGGGGATGGGGAGGAATGATGGGACAAGAGGTGGCATGGGGGGGGATGGAGAGGAATGATGGGACACGAGGTGGCATGGGGGGGGATGGGGAGGAATGATGGGACACGAGGTGGCATGGGGGGGGATGGGGAGGAATGATGGGACACGAGGTGGCATGGGGGGGGATGGGGAGGAATGATGGGACAAGAGGTGGCATGGGGGGATGGGGAGGAATGATGGGACACGAGGTGGCATGGGGGGGGATGGGGAGGAATGATGGAACACGAGGTGGCATGGGGGGATGGGGAGGAATGATGGGACACGAGGTGGCATGGGGGGGGATGGGGAGGAATGATGGGACAAGAGGTGGCATGGGGGGGGATGGGGAGGAATGATGGGACAAGAGGTGGCATGGGGGGGGATGGGGAGGAATGATGGGACACGAGGTGGCATGGGGGGGGATGGGGAGGAATGATGGGACAAGAGGTGGCATGGGGGGGGATGGGGAGGAATGATGGGACACGAGGTGGCATGGGGGGGGATGGGGATGAATGATGGGACAAGAGGTGGCATGGGGGGGGATGGGGAGGAATGATGGGACACGAGGTGGCATGGGGGGGGATGGGGAGGAATGATGGGACACGAGGTGGCATGGGGGGGGATGGGGAGGAATGATGGGACACGAGGTGGCATGGGGGGGGATGGGGAGGAATGATGGGACACGAGGTGGCATGGGGGGGGATGGGGAGGAATGATGGGACACGAGGTGGCATGGGGGGGGATGGGGAGGAATGATGGGACACGAGGTGGCATGGGGGGGGATGGGGAGGAATGATGGGACACGAGGTGGCATGGGGGGGGATGGGGATGAATGATGGGACAAGAGGTGGCATGGGGGGGGATGGGGAGGAATGATGGAACACGAGGTGGCATGGGGGGATGGGGAGGAATGATGGGACAAGAGGTGGCATGGGGGGGGATGGAGAGGAATGATGGGACACGAGGTGGCATGGGGGGGGATGGGGAGGAATGATGGGACACGAGGTGGCATGGGGGGGGATGGGGAGGAATGATGGGACACGAGGTGGCATGGGGGGGGATGGGGAGGAATGATGGGACACGAGGTGGCATGGGGGGGGATGGGGAGGAATGATGGGACACGAGGTGGCATGGGGGGGGATGGGGAGGAATGATGGGACACGAGGTGGCATGGGGGGGGATGGGGAGGAATGATGGGACACGAGGTGGCATGGGGGGGGATGGGGAGGAATGATGGGACACGAGGTGGCATGGGGGGGGATGGGGAGGAATGATGGGACAAGAGGTGGCATGGGGGGGGATGGGGAGGAATGATGGGACACGAGGTGGCATGGGGGGGGATGGGGAGGAATGATGGGACAAGAGGTGGCATGGGGGGGGATGGGGAGGAATGATGGGACACGAGGTGGCATGGGGGGGGATGGGGAGGAATGATGGGACACGAGGTGGCATGGGGGGGGGATGGGGAGGAATGATGGGACACGAGGTGGCATGGGGGGGGATGGGGAGGAATGATGGGACACGAGGTGGCATGGGGGGGGATGGGGAGGAATGATGGGACACGAGGTGGCATGGGGGGGGATGGGGAGGAATGATGGGACACGAGGTGGCATGGGGGGGGATGGGGAGGAATGATGGGACACGAGGTGGCATGGGGGGGGATGGGGAGGAATGATGGGACACGAGGTGGCATGGGGGGGGATGGGGAGGAATGATGGGACACGAGGTGGCATGGGGGGGGATGGGGAGGAATGATGGGACACGAGGTGGCATGGGGGGGGATGGGGAGGAATGATGGGACACGAGGTGGCATGGGGGGGGATGGGGAGGAATGATGGGACAAGAGGTGGCATGGGGGGGGATGGGGAGGAATGATGGGACACGAGGTGGCATGGGGGGGGATGGGGAGGAATGATGGGACACGAGGTGGCATGGGGGGGGATGGGGAGGAATGATGGGACACGAGGTGGCATGGGGGGGGATGGGGAGGAATGATGGGACACGAGGTGGCATGGGGGGGGATGGGGAGGAATGATGGGACACGAGGTGGCATGGGGGGGGATGGGGAGGAATGATGGGACACGAGGTGGCATGGGGGGGGATGGGGAGGAATGATGGGACACGAGGTGGCATGGGGGGGGATGGAGAGGAATGATGGGACACGAGGTGGCATGGGGGGGGATGGGGAGGAATGATGGGACAAGAGGTGGCATGGGGGGGGATGGAGAGGAATGATGGGACACGAGGTGGCATGGGGGGATGGGGAGGAATGATGGGACACGAGGTGGCATGGGGGGGGATGGGGAGGAATGATGGGACACGAGGTGGCATGGGGGGATGGGGAGGAATGATGGAACACGAGGTGGCATGGGGGGATGGGGAGGAATGATGGGACACGAGGTGGCATGGGGGGGGATGGGGAGGAATGATGGGACAAGAGGTGGCATGGGGGGGGATGGGGAGGAATGATGGGACACGAGGTGGCATGGGGGGGGATGGGGAGGAATGATGGGACACGAGGTGGCATGGGGGGGGATGGGGAGGAATGATGGGACACGAGGTGGCATGGGGGGGGATGGGGAGGAATGATGGGACAAGAGGTGGCATGGGGGGGGATGGGGAGGAATGATGGGACAAGAGGTGGCATGGGGGGGGATGGAGAGGAATGATGGGACAAGAGGTGGCATGGGGGGGGATGGGGAGGAATGATGGGACAAGAGGTGGCATGGGGGGGGATGGGGAGGAATGATGGGACACGAGGTGGCATGGGGGGGGATGGGGAGGAATGATGGGACACGAGGTGGCATGGGGGGGGATGGGGAGGAATGATGGGACACGAGGTGGCATGGGGGGGGATGGGGAGGAATGATGGGACAAGAGGTGGCATGGGGGGGGATGGGGAGGAATGATGGGACACGAGGTGGCATGGGGGGGGATGGGGAGGAATGATGGGACACGAGGTGGCATGGGGGGGGATGGGGAGGAATGATGGAACACGAGGTGGCATGGGGGGATGGGGAGGAATGATGGGACAAGAGGTGGCATGGGGGGGGATGGGGAGGAATGATGGGACACGAGGTGGCATGGGGGGGGATGGGGAGGAATGATGGGACACGAGGTGGCATGGGGGGGGATGGGGAGGAATGATGGGACACGAGGTGGCATGGGGGGGGATGGGGAGGAATGATGGGACAAGAGGTGGCATGGGGGGGGATGGGGAGGAATGATGGGACACGAGGTGGCATGGGGGGGGATGGGGAGGAATGATGGGACAAGAGGTGGCATGGGGGGGGATGGAGAGGAATGATGGGACACGAGGTGGCATGGGGGGGGATGGGGAGGAATGATGGGACACGAGGTGGCATGGGGGGGGATGGGGAGGAATGATGGGACACGAGGTGGCATGGGGGGGGATGGGGAGGAATGATGGGACACGAGGTGGCATGGGGGGGGATGGGGAGGAATGATGGGACAAGAGGTGGCATGGGGGGGGATGGGGAGGAATGATGGGACACGAGGTGGCATGGGGGGGGATGGGGAGGAATGATGGGACACGAGGTGGCATGGGGGGGGATGGGGAGGAATGATGGGACACGAGGTGGCATGGGGGGGGATGGGGAGGAATGATGGGACAAGAGGTGGCATGGGGGGGGATGGGGAGGAATGATGGGACACGAGGTGGCATGGGGGGGGATGGGGAGGAATGATGGGACACGAGGTGGCATGGGGGGGGATGGGGAGGAATGATGGGACACGAGGTGGCATGGGGGGGGATGGGGAGGAATGATGGGACACGAGGTGGCATGGGGGGGGATGGGGAGGAATGATGGGACACGAGGTGGCATGGGGGGGGATGGAGAGGAATGATGGGACACGAGGTGGCATGGGGGGGGATGGGGAGGAATGATGGGACAAGAGGTGGCATGGGGGGGGATGGGGAGGAATGATGGGACACGAGGTGGCATGGGGGGGGATGGAGAGGAATGATGGGACACGAGGTGGCATGGGGGGGGATGGGGATGAATGATGGGACACGAGGTGGCATGGGGGGGGATGGGGAGGAATGATGGGACACGAGGTGGCGGGGGGGATGGGGAGGAATGATGGGACACGAGGTGGCATGGGGGGGGATGGGGAGGAATGATGGGACAAGAGGTGGCATGGGGGGGGATGGGGAGGAATGATGGGACACGAGGTGGCATGGGGGGGGGATGGGGAGGAATGATGGGACAAGAGGTGGCATGGGGGGGGATGGGGAGGAATGATGGGACACGAGGTGGCATGGGGGGGGATGGGGATGAATGATGGGACACGAGGTGGCATGGGGGGGGATGGGGAGGAATGATGGGACAAGAGGTGGCATGGGGGGGGATGGGGAGGAATGATGGGACACGAGGTGGCATGGGGGGGGATGGGGAGGAATGATGGGACAAGAGGTGGCATGGGGGGGGATGGGGAGGAATGATGGGACACGAGGTGGCATGGGGGGGGATGGGGAGGAATGATGGGACACGAGGTGGCATGGGGGGGGATGGGGAGGAATGATGGGACACGAGGTGGCATGGGGGGGGATGGGGAGGAATGATGGGACACGAGGTGGCATGGGGGGGGATGGGGATGAATGATGGGACAAGAGGTGGCATGGGGGGGGATGGGGAGGAATGATGGAACACGAGGTGGCATGGGGGGATGGGGAGGAATGATGGGACAAGAGGTGGCATGGGGGGGGATGGGGAGGAATGATGGGACACGAGGTGGCATGGGGGGATGGGGAGGAATGATGGGACACGAGGTGGCATGGGGGGGGATGGGGAGGAATGATGGGACACGAGGTGGCATGGGGGGATGGGGAGGAATGATGGGACACGAGGTGGCATGGGGGGGGATGGGGAGGAATGATGGGACAAGAGGTGGCATGGGGGGGGATGGGGAGGAATGATGGGACACGAGGTGGCATGGGGGGATGGGGAGGAATGATGGGACAAGAGGTGGCATGGGGGGGGATGGGGAGGAATGATGGGACACGAGGTGGCATGGGGGGGGATGGGGAGGAATGATGGGACACGAGGTGGCATGGGGGGGGATGGGGAGGAATGATGGGACAAGAGGTGGCATGGGGGGGGATGGAGAGGAATGATGGGACACGAGGTGGCATGGGGGGATGGGGAGGAATGATGGGACACGAGGTGGCATGGGGGGGGATGGGGAGGAATGATGGGACACGAGGTGGCATGGGGGGGGATGGGGAGGAATGATGGGACACGAGGTGGCATGGGGGGGGATGGGGAGGAATGATGGGACAAGAGGTGGCATGGGGGGGGATGGGGAGGAATGATGGGACAAGAGGTGGCATGGGGGGGGATGGAGAGGAATGATGGGACACGAGGTGGCATGGGGGGATGGGGAGGAATGATGGGACAAGAGGTGGCATGGGGGGGGATGGGGAGGAATGATGGGACACGAGGTGGCATGGGGGGATGGGGAGGAATGATGGGACACGAGGTGGCATGGGGGGGGATGGGGAGGAATGATGGGACACGAGGTGGCATGAGTGCATGCACTCCCCGCCCAGCTTCTTCAGGGCAGCACAAGTGGACTCCCAGGGCGCGCCTCTGCTGATACCTGGTGGGGTTGACCGGAATGAGGGCTTGAGAATGGGGGATAGGAGAGACAGGGGGTGGCACGAATGCAAGCTCTATCATATCCGCCTGGTGGGGATGGCGGATGAATAAGGGCTTGAGAACGGCCAACAGGGAGGCACGGGGGGGCACGGGGAGGCACGGGGGGGCACGGGGAGGCACGGGGAGGCACGGGGAGGCACGGGGAGGCACGGGAAGGGAAGTAAGCGGGTGGCATAAATGCATGCACTCCCCGCCCACCCTTTCCACGGCATCCAAGTGAACTCCCTGCACTCTCCCTCTATCACGTCCGCCTCTGCTGCAATGCAACCTGTTCAGTTGAACAGGGGAGCGCGATTGATACCACAGGACAGGGCATGACGGGGTGCCGCAGGGCGTGAAAGGGCGACCCACATGCGTGGGTGCATGCATAATTACATGCATGCCTCCTTCTTGGGACGACTCAGATAATGACCCATATAAAGTGCAAACACATTAACATGCATGCCTCCTTGGGACGACTCAAATAGTGACCCATATAAAGTGCAAACACATTAACATGCATGCCTCCTTCTTGGGACGACTCAGATAATGACCCATATAAAGTGCAAACACATTAACATGCATGCCCCCTTCTTGGGACGACTCAGATAATGACCCATATAAAGTGCAAACACATTAACATGCATGCCTCCTTCTTGGGACGACTCAGATAATGACCCATATAAAGTGCAAACACATTAACATGCATGCCTCCTTCTTGGGACGACTCAGATAGTGACCCATATAAAGTGCAAACACATTAACATGCATGCCTCCTTCTTGGGACGACTCAGATAATGACCCATATAAAGTGCAAACACATTAACATGCATGCCTCCTTCTTGGCCTGCTCTGCTCCTCTCTCGACCATCTCCATAGCTTCCGCTGCTCACTCCTGGCTTTGGATGGTCACCGTGTAGATTGTAATACCTTAGTCTGCTATGCTGGTGTTTTTTTTGGGGCGTGCGTGTTTCTTCTTTCTCTCACTGCCCCTCCTTTCCCCCCCTCCCCCAACCCTCTCCTCCCCCCCCCTCTCCCCTCTCCTTTTCGCACCTTGAACTGCTCGCATGTGGCCTTGACAGCGCACATCACCTGCCGGCTCACCGCCTCCTCCTGCTTCTTCCATGGTCACGGTTTGCTCCTGCCACCCGCCCCTCGTCCTCTCCCCGCCCCTCACCCTCTCCCCTCCCCTCGTCCTCTCCCACCCCCCGTCCGCACCTTGAACTGCTCGCATGTGGCCTTGGCAGCGCGCAGCACCTGCCGACTCACGGCCTCCTCCTGCTCCCACGCTAGGCACCCTTCACTTCTATCCCCACACCTCGGTCCTATACCCGCCCCTCATTCGCACCTTGAACTGCTCGCACATGGCCTTGGCAGCGCGCAGCACCTGGCGGCTCACGGCCTCCTCCTGCTTCTTCATTGTCTCCACCACCTCCGGCGGCACGTAGAACCCTGTACCAGCGGAACCGAACCGGGCTAGGGGGGCATTGGTGAGTTGCCTTCAAATACACAAGAGGATTGCTTTGCATGATGGACTAGAGCCTGACGGCCTCCTCCTGCTTCTTCATCGTCTCCACCACCTCCGGCGGCACGTAGAACCCTGTACCAGCGGAACCAAACCGGGCTGGGGGGGAATTGGTGAGGGAGGGAAGGGACTAGCCAGTAGAGGCAAGCGGCGTGTTGCCTTCAACCACACACGGGGCTTGCTTTGCACGGACCATAGCATGACAGCCTCCTCCTGCTTCTTCATTGCTTCCGCCACCTCTGGCGGTGCATAAAATCCTGCAGCAGCGGAACCAAACCGAACCGGGCTGGGGGGAATTGGTGAGTTGCCTTCAAATACACAAGGGTTTGCATCTACTATAGACTCCATCGTTTCCACCTCTGGCGGCACGAGGAAGCCTGCACCAGCGGAACCGAACCGGGCTGGGAGGGGGGGGATTGGTGAGTTGCCTTCAAATGCATCGCGTGCAACTTAAAGCATAAGAGCTGGGGGGAAAGACTGTTCTCTGATGCACTTGAATCGCTTTTGAGAATTTGCACCTCAGAGCATAAGGCTGTTACTCCAAGGACTGTTCTCTGATGCACCTGAATGCGCTGTGAAAACCAACCCCCTCCATCCCCTTGCTGCCTGTGAAGCAACTTCTGATCCCCTCCCTCCACGCCAGAACCTTACCTGGACCCGCGGGTCCCGCGTAGACTTTCGGGTACGGCTGTGCGTGTAGCAGGTGAACCTTGTCCTCCGCCTGTATCACATTCTCGAGAGCCCACTTTAACGCGTACGAGCTCTCGTCGCTCGGATCCACCGCTACGAGAATCTTTCGCGATTTCTTCAGCGGCGCGCTCTCGTCTCCGGTAGTCCCAACGGTCACCTCGTCCGGCTTTGTGGCAGCAGCGTCGGTCGACATGCTTGTCCTGCGCGACACGGCTGGCGTTCGATATAGGTATGCGTAACAGATAAACGATTTTCGAAATCGTTGACGAAACCGGCAGAGGCGATTGAGAGAAGGCGATTGAGGCCTTTCTGATTAGGAACGTCACACTCGGTACTAGGCTGAAACAATTTTCCCACGTCGCAAAAGACAAACTAAGAAACAAATGCGAAATCAAGCAGGAAACTCGCAAGAAAATCAAGCAGAGGTAAGCTCGTCGGTTGGCATGTAATCGAAGGTCGTAGAAGCTAAAGAATGAGCAAGAAAAAGACGATTCAGGTAAGAATTCGGAGGTTCGTGCTCGCCTGCTGCGTTGGAACCACGAATCCAATTCCTGACATGAAAATGTGAGAGATGTCCGTCACTAGCTTTCTCTGAAACCTTTCCCGACCGTTTTCACGGAGTAACAAGCCGTACAGTAGACTTCTGAACCGGACAATACAGTGTGCTCCATTGACACACCCAACAGTAAGTGCTGGCAGATCATGTCTTGTTGTCCGCACAGCTCAGCGCATGCACAGCTCAAACCGACGCTTATCCAGCGCATTTGCTTATGTAAGCGCGAAACTCTGGCTGCTTTTACAACGTGGTTGACGCAAAATGCAAGATGCGAATCTGGTTACTGGTCGGTCGAAAGCAGAGACGTTGGTGAAATGCGAACACGTGGCCACATATGACTCGAACTTTCTTCGTTACACGAAGGCAAAGCAGGGGGCTCACGTGAAATGGTCCGTTGGACTGAACAGAGGAGCTTCGGGACCGTTATAGCTTGACCGACATTATTACATTTGGTAAACAAATCCATTATCTGAATAAACTATATCCATTGCGGGGATTGATGACCCCATGACGCACACCATTCTCCAACCAGGACACAACTCATCAAGTGAACTGATCTTTCAAACCAATGCGAATGGGGCCCAGGTGAAGCTAAAGCTTGCGTCAGGAACTACATACTCCAGCACACATCACACGCTGGTAGTCCACCCACATCCACCTGGATTCCTATCCTAGCACCATAGCTTCACCAACTATCCAAGACGTCCCCATCACTGCCCAGAACCCCGCTTCTGCTCGTATTCCTGGCAAATGCAGTGACCCACATCATTACCCGAACTTAAAAGCCCCCCTTCACTGCTCATACCCCTGCTGCATGTACTGATCCAGGTCCTTATCCAAGTCCACTTCCGACACCTTCCCTTCACCACGTCCCCCCCTACCTCCCCTTCCTCGCCCGGTCCCTCTTCCGCCTCCCCTTGCCCCCCCTCTAGCAGCAGTATGCGCTCTGGTTACTGTACCAGGCCTCCCCGCCCCCCTGGGCCCCAACCCGAACATGGTCGCCCCAAACGCGGTCCTCGCAGCAGCAGCGCGCGTCCTCACACCCGCCGCCGCAACAACCGCACCCCCACGCCTTCCCATGACAATCCCCCCCCTGCCCACTCCTGCTGCTCCCCGCCCGCGCGCACCCCTCCCCGCAACTGCGCCTCCGGACCCCACGGCAAAGCGCAGGTTCGGGGGGACCTGAACCCCCTGCACTGGAGGCTGGTTACCGGGAAACGTCAAGCGCGAGCGGACCGAGCCTGCACCAGTTGCACCCGCCGCAGCTCCCGCCTTCCCCTTCGCGGCGCCAGCCCCGCCGGGAAAGGTGAGACGCGACTGAATGGGCTGGGCCGCCGGTGCCGCTACGACAGCGGCGGGCTTTTTCGCCGATGACGTGGCAGCTGCGGGTTTGCTCCTCAATTTAGATCCGTTCGCTGCAGTGCTGCTGGGGCGAGTGCTCCCTCCTCCCCCTGTTTGCTTTCCGCCTGCGCGCGCGGAGGCTGACGGGGGAGCGGAAGGAGCGGCGGGGGAAGATACTTTCCGCTGCGCAGCTAGAGCCGATTGCCGTGCTTCGGCTTGGCGCGCTTTCGCCTCCGCGCGACGGACGCTTTGACTGCGCTGGGCGGATAGAGCACGAAACCGTTCGTCGAGAGTCTTCGTGATGTCGTTAGGGTTCGCGAACGGGGCTTGCGTGGCGAAGGGAGGCTGTGCGACAACCACACGACGTGCGGGGCCGTGTTGTGCGATTGCCATGCCTGGTGGTGCAGAGAAGTGAGACAGTGGAACCGCCATCGGCTGTGTCGCGTCGTCAGGGCCGTTACGAACGGTTACGAACATGGCGGCGAGATTACAAGCGAAGCGCGAGGGAGATTGCGAAGCAGTAATATAATGGCAAAACGCGAGGTGAGGGGAAACACTAAAACCGATCGGCCTAATAACAATATGCTAAGACACATAAACGACTAAAACACGTCTACAAAGCTCCGCTGAGAAAATCTACGGACGGCCGTTCCTGCTCAAGCGAAGGCGAAATTCGAGGAAACTAGGCTCGATGAAGAAGCAACTAAATCGGAGGCGCACTAGAGAGGAAGAAACCGAGGCTAGAGTGATGGACATGGGAGACCAAGGGCAAAGGAGGACCGATTTTCTCGACGTGGGACAGGAATGACCCAATCAGATGGAAGTGGAGTTCGGTCTAGTGCGGTGGTAGCTGGTATAATCCCGATTGTTGCGACTGGGCTGTTGTTTCAAGTTATACACTTTGTCCGCGTTGGGGTCAGGCGAGGGGTTGGTGGGAGAGCATGGACGTGGTTCGTTCTGGCGAATTGACGAAAAGGGACGTCGCGATGTGGGATTTCGTGGGGATCCTTCTTCACAAACGAAGCGACTTGAAATCTGGTTTTGTAACTTGAAATCTGGTTTTGTAACCACTCCCTTCGCGAACCCATTTGTTACAATCGTCGGAAACGCGCGAGACGTGAAAACTTTCGCGCGCTCGAATGTGTCAGAAGGCGTCAGAACAACACCCAAACACAAATCAGGCACATCCGCTTCTATCACACAAAACCATTCCCTAAGTTCTCTTCCTCGTCTTACAGTCACAGACACTCTTGGAGTCGGTTGTGTGCTCCTCCAGAATCTAACTCTTCAGCAAGTTCGTTACAAAGGCGTAGCCGCGACGTATCTGCTCTGTAACAACGAAAGCGCTTAGCCTCTGTTTTCGACTTAGCAGTGTGTGCAAGAACCACAACGTTAGGTTGTCACGGTCCAAGAGACTGTTCCATGTGATTGATGCGTAGGAAGCCCGAGCATTTGGTTTTGGTGATTCAGTCATCATGCTATCGAGTCATTGCTAGCACGCCCGGACTTGTGCCAACTTAGGAATGGCCGCATGGGGTTCCATGACGGCTCGAAGGACGTCGCCGGTAGGTCGAACGGCTGGGCGCCTCTAGTCGATTCGCCTTTCGTTAGAGTAATCGGCGAGAACGGATCAGGCAGTGCGCGTTCTTCTACCACACACGCCGGACATTCGATACAATCACGTTCGTTACAAGGTCATACTCATCACTCGAATCCAACAGCCAGCTACGGCAAGTCTTCCAAGGCCGGGTCTTTGGGAGTGATTCGTCGAGGGGAAAGCCGCGATAACCTCAATAAATCCACCACGCCGACTGCATTTGTCACAACTTTTTGTAACCAACAGCCTTGGTTCGCGAACTTCGCCAAGGATAGGAAACGCTTCGGAATTGTCGCAGCCATGGTCGCATGGGCTCGCGGTGCGACAGCAGCCGTGTTCGGAATCGGTAAAGGTCGGCATTCCCAAGGCGGAGCCGATGGCGGGAAAATCGGGTTACCACTAACATTTTCGGATAGCGATCGGTGGAAGACGAGCAATGGGTGCGGTTCCGCCGTGCTGGTAACCCGACGATGGGAGTCGCTGCTGGTGTGGGCGAGCACTGGCGGAATTCGGTGGCTGGTCGCATGCTTGGCTGTCGCCATCATGGTCTCCAAGGCCCTTGCCGTGTGGCTGCAAACGGTATGTGACTCTAACGAGCTCGCTTGCTGATTTCTAAGCTCGTTGCGGAGTGCGCAGACGTTATTGTATGGAGCGGTTGAAGGGCGGGGGTTGGGGGGGTGAGGAGGGAGGGGAGAATGTGATAGTATCCTACATTGATTGTGTTACTGTATGTGCCATTGATTGCAAATGCGCGTGTTATTGTATGTCACAGTCCAGGTGATGCTCAGACGTCTCGTATCCACATGTCTCAACTCAACCCTCCTCCGTTTTCTTCTCCCCTTCAGCTTCTTACTGGTCCATTCCCTTCCCGTACGCCCCCAACTCCTCCCTTGTGGCGTGTTTCGACCATACCTCCCTGCCACCTCCCCTCGTCTCTCTCTCCCCTCCTCTCTCCCTCCTCCCCTCCTCTCTCCCTCCTCCCCTCCTCTCTCCCTCCTCCCCTCCTCTCCCTCCTTTCAAATCCCTGCTTTCGTTTCCTATCTTCCCTTTCTCCCTTTCCTTCCCTCTCCACCTCAGCTTCTGATCACCCCCCACTGCATCCTTCGGATCTGATACCACCAACTTCCCTCCCTTCGATCGCCTAATACCCACCCTCTTCCTACCCTCCACTATCTCTTGTCTTACTCTTTTCCCCTTTCATCTTCTAATCGGCCCCACAGCATCCTCTGGATCAGACACTGCCAAATTCCCTCTCTACTCCGAGTTGGCTCGCCTTTGAAACAACCCTCTCCCTGCCCTCCACTCCCTCTTCTCTTCCCTTCTTCCCCCCCTCAGCTGCTGATCGGCCCCACTGCATCGTTTGGGTCTGACACTGCCAACTTCCCCCTCTACTCCGAGGTGGTTTCTCAGGTCCAGGCCTGCTTCACTTTCTCACCACCCCTCTCTCTCCCATCCACCCGCCTTTCTCTTCCTCAGCTGCTGATCGGCCCCACCGCATCGTTTGGGTCAGACACTGCCAACTTCCCTCTCTACTCCGAGGTGGCTCGTTGGTATGCGAGCGGGGTCACAGCCGTGCTGGCACTCATCGCCACTAAGGTGGGTTGGAGTGGGTGTGTTGAGAGTGCAAGGCTAAGTGTACCGGCATGTGCATCTCCAGGTGCACGTATGTATGTGAGTCTTCTCCCCTCTATTCTTATCCAAGGTGGCTCGCTGGTATGCCAGCGGGGTCACGGCCATGCTGGCACTCGTGGCCACCAAGGTGGGTTGGCGAGTAGGAGTGAGTGTGTGTGTGTGTGTGTGTGTGTGTGTGTGTGTGTGTGTGTGTGTGTGTGTGTTGGCATGGCATGAGTGTGAGTAACTGTCCCCTCTACTCCGATCCGAGGTGGCTTGCTGGTATCAGAGCGGAGTCACAGCTGTGCTTGCACTCCTTGCCACAAAGGTGGGTGAGGGGGAGAAGTAGCGTGCTGGTTGTGATTTTAAGATTAAGCATGCTGGCATGTGCATGTGCATGCTGGCATGTGCATGTGCATGTGCATGCAGGCATGAGTATGTGCATGTGCATGTGCATATGCATGTGCATGTGCATGTGCATATGCATGTGCATGTGCATATGCATGTGCATGTGCATGCTGGCATGAGTATGTGCATGTGCATGTGCATATGCATGTGCATGTGCATATGCATGTGCATGTGCATGCTGGCATGTGCATGTGAATGTGCATGCTGGCATGTGCATGTGCATGCTGGCATGTGCATGTGAATGTGAATGTGCATGTTGGCATGTGCATGTGCATGTGCACAGCATTTCCTCCCCTTACTGCCGCCCATCCCATCAGTTCCTGGGTGCATCCCCCCGTTCTCCCCTCCCCAAGCAGCTTTTGGGTCGCCCCATACTGTCGCCAGTATGCCAGTGCCCATCTTCGCCTCTCTTTCATCTCTCCCCTCCCCTTCCCCTGCATCCCCCCCGTTCTCCCCTCCCGAAGCAGCTTCTGGGTCGCCCCATACTGTCGCCAGTGCCCGTCTATTCCTTTGCTGGCGCTGGTGCTGCCATCACCATCACTGCAGTGTGCATACGAGAGGTACGATGCAGTTAAGAGGCGGATTCGAGAGGTGCAGTGCGGTTGAGAGAGGTAAATAAGAGAGGTGCTGCGGTGTTGAGAGGTGTGCATGAGGGAGTACAGTGCGGTGGAGAGTGATGGATCAGAGAGGCGTAGTGCGGTTGAAAGAGGTGGATCAGAGAAGTGCTGTACGGTTGAGAGGGGTGGATCATGGAGGTGCAGTAGGGTGGAGGGGATGCATAGCTGCTGTGCTGCCACTGCCATCACAGCAGTGTGCATTAGAGAGGTGCAGTGCGGTTGAGAGAGATAAATCAGAGTTGCAGTGAGATCGAAAGAGGTGGGAAAGGGTTGTGTATCTGAGAGAGGTGGATGGAGGGGATGCATCGCTGCTGTGCTGCCATCACCATCATCACAGTATGTATCAGAGAGGTACAGTGCGGTTGAGAGAGGTGAGTAAGAGAGGTACGCGGAGGGTTTACGTGGCTGGTGTGCTGCCAATGCCATTACAACAGCGTGCATCAGAGGGGTGGAGTGCGGTTGGGGAAGGCACAGTATGGCGAAAGAGGAGTATCCGAGCGGTTCAGTGCGGTTCCAAAAACTATATTCAGCCAACGGGTACAGCGCGGTTGGAAATAATACATGGGTGCATGAGTGGGTGGGAGTAGGTAACCATCCGTATTCAAACCACCCACGCATGCATGTCAAACCACTCTTACATGCATGTTCAAACCACCCACGTGCATGTCAGGCCACCCATACATGTTTTTCAGCCCCCCCTCCCCACCACTCCCCCTGCCCCCCCCCATGCATGTTGCACCGCAAATGGCAGTTGAACGGGCGCATTGGCATTGGAGCCACGTGCATGGTCTATGCCGTGTGCACGCTCTCACTGCTTGTAAGCCCTTCCTCTCCTTCTCGTATAAGCCCCTTCCTCTCCCTCTTGTATAAGCCCCTTCCTCTCCCTCTTGTATAAGCCCCTTCCTCTCCCTCTTGTATAAGCCCCTTCCTCTCCCTCTTGTATAAGCCCCTTCCTCTCCCTCTTGTATAAGCCCCTTCCTCTCCCTCTTGTATAAGCCCCTTCCTCTCCCTCTTGTATAAGCCCCTTCCTCTACCTCTTGTATAAGCCCCTTCCTCTCCCTCTTGTATAAGCCCCTTCCTCTCCCTCTTGTATACGCCCATTCCCCTCCCCTCCCACTCGTCAACTCAAAAGCAACCTGCATGGTCCATGCCGTGTGCACGCTCTCACTGCTTGTAAGCCCCCATCCTCTTCCTCTCATGCACCCCGGCGTTTGAGTCGACTCAGAAGCAACCTGCATGGTCTATGGCCTGTGCACTCTGTCAGTGCTCGTAAGCCAATTCCTCTCCCACTCTGTCAGTGCTCGTAAGCCAATTCCTCTCCCACTCTGTCAGTGCTCGTAAGCCAATTCCTCTCCCACTCTGTCAGTGCTCGTAAGCCAATTCCTCTCCCACTCTGTCAGTGCTCGTAAGCCAATTCCTCTCCCACTCTATCAGTGCTGGCATGGACTGCACTCCCATCGCGCATGGACTGCACTCCCATCTCGCATGGACTGCACTCCCATCTCGCATGGACTGCACTCCCATCTCGCATGGACTGCACTCCCATCTCGCATGGACTGCACTCCCATCTCGCATGGACTGCACTCCCATCTCGCATGGACTGCACTCCCATCTCGCATGGACTGCACTCCCATCTCGCATGGACTGCACTCCCATCTCGCATGGACTGAACTCCCATCTCGCATGGACTGCACTCCCATCGCGCATGGACTGCACTCCCATCTCGCATGGACTGCACTCCCATCTCGCATGGACTGCACTCCCATCTCGCATGGACTGAACTCCCATCTCGCATGGACTGCACTCCCATCTCGCAATACTTTGACAAGTGAACCTCAACCTCACATCCCCCTCACTTCCGCTCTGCAGCTCTGGCAGTCGATACTGAGTGGGGCGCCCATGCTCGTGGGCTCCTGCAGCGGCTCTTCCCCCGTGGCAGCGGTGGGCTGGCGGCGAGTGCACTGGCTGCGGCTGCTGGGGTGTCTGCTCGCGTTCCTGGTCGCCTACAGCTGCTGGGTGGGTGTGAGGGAAGGGGGGAGTGAGTGAGGGAGGGAGAGAGAGGGGGAGTTAGAGAGGGAGAGAAAGGGGGAGTGAGGGATGGAGAGAGAGGGGGAGTTAGAGAGGGAGAGAGAGGGGGAGTGAGGAGGGAGTGACCCCCATGGCAGCGTTGGCGTGGTGGTGAGTGCACTCGCTGCGACTCTTGGAGTGTCTGCTCGCCTGCTTGCTTGCCTACAGCTGCTGGGTGGGTGGGAGGGAGTGAGGGATGGAGTGAGGGAGTGAGTGGGGTAAGGAGGAAGGCAGGGAGGGAGGGACGGAGGGAGGGAGTAACCCTAGTGGCAGCGGTGGCGTGGAGGCGAGTGCACTGGCTGGAGGAAGGGGGGTGTCTGCTCGCCTGCCTGCTCGCTTACAGCTGCTGGGTGGGTGCGAGGGAGTGAGACAGTGAGTGTGAGGGAATGAGTTAGGGAGGAACGGGGTGAGGGAGTGAGTGAGGGAGTGGCCCAAGTGGCAGCGGTGGTGTGGCGGCGAGTGCACTGGCTGCTACTGTTGGGATGCCTTCTCACTTACGACTTCTGGGTGGGTGTGAGTGAGTGAGGGAGTGGGGTAGGGGTATTGTTTTCTGAGCTAGTGGTGCTCTTGCGATTTGTTGTAGTGAACCCACCCTGCCTCGCATTGCCATCATGACCCATGCCATCATGACCCATGTCATCATGACCCATGCCATCATGACCCATGCTTTCGTCACTCCCTGTCTCACAGTATCACAGTCTGCCTCTACCCGACCTCCCACCACCAGCTGTGGTCCCCCCGTCGTCCGAGGCGGCGCGAGTCAACATGGATGTTTGTGCCTTATCCGTCTGTATCTCGTCTCACATGCTCCTCTGTCGACCTGTACCCTCCCCTGCCTCACCAGCTCTGGTTCCCCCCGGCCTCCGAGGCAGCGCGGGTGCTTCTTCCCTCCGCCACGCCACTCTACCTCTGGCCGCCTGCCATTCCCACCTTGCCATCATCACACTCCACCCCACCCGTTCTCCTGGCCCCTGTGTCCCTCTCCCCTTCCCACCAGCTCTGGTTCCCTCCAGCCTCTGAAGCAGCGCGGGTGCTGCTGCCCTCTGCCACGCCACTCTACTTCTGGCCGCCTGCCAGCATGGGCGTGCGCTACTGGTGGTGGATCGGGCCACTTGCTGTGCCCATATTCGCGCTCCTCTTATTCTGGTGAGGCTTACGCATGCCCATCTTTGCGTTTCTCCTCCTCTTCTGGTGAGTGCAACTCTAAACCGTGCTGGCCTGCCAGCATAAGCTGCTAGCTGTTCCCATCTTTGTCAGGCGCCTCCTGCCACGCCGCTCTACCTCTGGCCGCCTGCCAGCATGGGCGTGCGCTATTGGTGGTGGATTGGACCCCTAGCCGTGCCCGTATTTGCGTTCCTCTTATTCTGGTACGTGCTGCCACTATTGGTGTTGATGCCTCTTCAAACATGACAACCCGCCAGCATGGGCGTGCGCTACTGGTGGCGGATAGGATAGGGCCCCTTGCATTGCGTGCGAATCTTAGCCCTTCTCCTGTTCTGGTAAGGTCCCTCGACAATCCTATCATTGCCGTCATGCTATTCAGATACGGCTGGGGCATTAGCGATTCTATCTGTGAGTGCACCTTGTGCAATCCCTCTCCCCCCTGCCATCCCCTGTCAATTCACACTCACTCCTCCATCTCTGACGGGCTACCAGTGGCCCTGCAGGAGCGAGTCTATCTGCAGTGCGACCTGTCTGTCACCTGTCATCCCCTTATCTCCCTCCCACTTCCCTCTCTGCCCTCTCTGCCCTCTTTGCAGCTCTGACGGCCTAGTAGTGGCCCTGCAAGAGAGAGTCTATCTGCAATACGACCTGCCAGTCACCTCCCTGGTGCTATACGTTTCCACATCCGCCTTATTCGTCGACTTCTGGGATAAGCACCCCTGCTTCCTATTGCGTGAATTACCCTTGTTTTTGGTCACCATTCTCGTCAACCAAGCCACACCCATCTTTCCCTTCCCCTCCCTCCATACCCTACCCCCCCAGAAGTCACTCCCATCTTCCCCGTCCCAGCATTTCCCTCATCAGTGCTCTCTCTGCATGACCTTATCGCCCGAAGCCTTTCACATGCACCTTATCCAGCCTTCGCCTTAAGTGACCCCTCATACCGCGCCTTTGGCTTCGATTGCCTGCAGTGTCTGAGCACTCTTCCTCCATGTCCCCCACCCTGACAACCCCTCTATGCACCAAACCCCCATTGCAGCCTTCGCCTTCAGCGACCACTTCGACCGCGCCTTTGGCTTCGTCTTTGACTGCCCACATCAATCCATTAACCCTCTTCAACACTCTCCCCCCATGCATCAACCCTCATATGCCAGCATTCGCCTTCAGTGACCACTTTGACCGCGCATTTGGCTTCGTCTTTGATTGCCCGCAGTGCCTGCTCTACCTCGTGCTCGCCTCCGTGGTACGTGCTGCTATGCCTCTATGTGCTACTGTGTGTGTGTGTGTGGGCTATGCGCCTTTGGCTTTGACTGCCCGCAGTGCCTGCTCTACCTCGTGCTCGCCTCCGTGGTACGTGCTGCTATGCCTCTATGTGCTACTGTGTGTGTGTGTGTGTGCTATGCGCCTTTGGCTTCGTGTTTGACTGCCCGCAGTGCCTGCTCTACCTGGTGCTCGCCTCTGTGGTACGTACACAGTGCACGTGTTGCTATGCCTCTTCCATTGAGACTGTGTGTGTGAGTTGATGAGCCTTTGGCTTCGTCTTTGGCTGCCCGCAGTGCCTGCTCTACCTGGTTCTCGCCTCTGTGGTACGTATGTGTGACCCGCACATGGTGATGTGAAACACATGCCGCACATACCACATACACCACAGATACCTCACACATGACACATACCACACACATCCCTTCACCTTCCCTCCATCCCTTCACCTTCCCTCCGTCCCTTCACCCTCCCTTCATCCCTCCATGTTTCATGCCCTATCTATGCCCGCACCATGACCCACCCTCGTCCCCTTCCCTCATATCCCCCCTCCCTGCCTCACCGCCTACCCTCACCGTCCCTTATAAATGCACCCCTTGCTGATGCCCCTTCCATCCCCCTCCCACTCTCCCTTTCATCCGCCCTCATTCCTCTCCTCCGCCTTCCCCTCTCTCATTCCTTTCCTCCAACCCCCCTCTCCAACTGCAGCCATCAGCGCTGGCAGCCTTTCTAACAGCGTTGCTGCTGAGAGTCTCAGGCGGGCTGGTCTCTTCTCTCGTCTTGCGGGTGAGCCCTCCACCCTCGCATTGCTACTATCCTCTCTTGCTTCCTCCCTCTGCTCCCTTCCCTCCCTCTCCGCTCCCTTCCCTCCCTCTCCGGCCCCATCCCTACCTTTCTGCCCCCATCCCTTCCTCTTTGCCCCCATCCCTTCCTCTTTGCCCCCATCCGCCCCTCTCTGCCCCCATCCGCCCCTCTCTGCCCCCATCCGCCCCTCTCTGCCCCCATCCGCCCCTCTCTGCCCCCATCCGCCCCTCTCTGCCCCCATCCGCCCCTCTCTGCCCCCATCCGCCCCTCTCTGCCCCCATCCGCCCCTCTCTGCCCCCATCCGCCCCTCTCTGCCCCCATCCGCCCCTCTCTGCCCCCATCCGCCCCTCTCTGCCCCCATCCGCCCCTCTCTGCCCCCATCCGCCCCTCTCTGCCCCCATCCGCCCCTCTCTGCCCCCATCCCTCCATCTCATCTTCTTCCCCATGCAGATACTCTCGCTCCTCTTGCTCTTCCCTCTGGACGTCGGCCCATGCTTTAGCTTTCTCTCTCCGCTCCCTTCCCTCGCTTTCTGTCCCCATCTGTCTCTCTCTTCTTCTGCCCCATGCAGATCATAACGATTCTCCTGCTCTTCCCTCTGGATCCCTTTGCACCGCTCTGGAAAGTGCCTCAAATCCTTACAGGCGTGGTAAGCATGATCCGCCCTCTACCATCATCGCCCCTCTACCATCATCACCCCTCTACCATCATCACCCCTCTACCATCATCACCCCTCTACCATCATCACCCCTCTACCATCATCACCCCTCTACCATTATCACCCCTCTGTCATCCGCCTAACCCCTCGATCATCCTCCCAACCCCTCTATCATCCTCCTAACCCCTCTAACATCCTCCCTCCTCCTCCACCTCTTCCTCCTCATCTCTACTCCTTCCTCTTTCTTCAAAGCAACATTACGGTGATGCTCTTTCCTCATATATGGCATCCCTCACTTCCTCGCCTCCCCCTACTCACCTCCACACGCTTTCTCATTCCCATCCCCCCCCCTCCACAATCTCCCTTTCGGCTGCCCCTACTTCAGTGCAAAATGGCAGCCATGCTCTCTCTCTCTCTCGGACTGACGTCCCTCACTTACTCTTTGCCCCCTGCTCATCTCCACGCCCTTTCTTACCTCCCTCCTTCCACCACAATCACCCCTCACCCTCCCCCTTTAACAGGGTATAATGGTAGTGATGGTTGCCCTCTTCATAACCGACGTCCCTCACTTGCTCTCCTCCTCTTCCTCCTCCTCCTCGGCCATCCTCACATCATCCACTGCTGTTCTGCCTGTTGGTAGTGGAGGTGGCGGATCAGGGTCCGTGGTTACCAGTCCGGGCAAGGGCGGTAATGTGGTTACCATCGAGGCCCCCGATGAGTGAGCTGCTCTGCTGCTGCTGCTGCTCCTCGTGCTCCCCTGGCGGTGGGGGTGTCGGATCAGTGTCGTTGGATACCAGTCCGGGCAAGGGCAGAGGTGTGGTTACCATTGAGGCTCCCAATCAGTAAGCTGCTCTGCTGCTGCTGCTGACGATTTTGCTGGCGGTGGGGTTGTGGTTTGGACTGAAGCCTGCTGTTGCTGCATGATCCTTACCTAATCTCTCAGTGCAGTTTCAGCTGCAGGCTGGATGATATCAGGGTGCCTAACCCTTGTGGCTCATACTTTATTGCTGGGTTTTAAGTTGCACCCATGGTATTAGAAATGCTAATTTTATCTAGGGCTTCGATGTTTCACATGAGAGGAGTTATTATATGATCACGCTGATTTCCAAGAATTCACACAGCTTGGTTCCGGCATAGTGATTGCTCAATATCTTGCAAGACAAGCGGATATGTTGATTCACGCCTTCAATGTTTAGAGTGCAAATGGGTTTGTGTACTGGAGTTGGTTGAGAAACAATTTCTATGAAGGATATGAGAAGATTGTTCATACCCAAAAGTGTACTCGTAGCCGGTTGATTTCAAGTATTGCACATATTGCTGACGTTCTGACTCTCGAGGCGCTAGCGCTTCGACAACTATTATCTGACGTCAGCTGGGCCAGCCGCGCCGTCGCTGGCAAGCAGGGAAAGGGAGAATGGAATGGACGTGGCGGCCGACACTCGCTGGCCACGGTTTCCGCTCCCCATGTCAACAACTTGCCACCTCAGCAAGTTTTACTCGCGGTTCGCAATGTCACAATTGGCGCTTGCTGTGAAACTGTGATTGCGAGCCACAAAAACAAGCTTCTGCGAGGAAACATCGATTACACAAGAATCTCCAGCTGTGGAAATCTTTCTTTGCAGTAGTATTAGTGAGTGACGCGTGAGGATTCAGCTGTGAAAAAGAATGTCGTTCAAGCCTGAACAACGCAGCAAAGGGCTTTTGCCCCAAGGAGTGACTGGAGAATGCCATTTCTGGCGGAGTCGCAATCGCAAACAAGACAGCCATCCGACCCGCATATTACCTTCTCTGCAGCTCACCATTGCCAGCTCCGCAAGCATTGGGCCGTTTCTCGAGTGCCTGCGTATAAAGCAAGCGGGGCTTGCGCGTTTCTCAGCAACGATCGGTAGCCTGTTCTCCTGATAAGGACGACTGACACAATTTTCAGCAACGATACGTAGCAAGCATTTTTGCAGTGTCTGAGACTAGTTTTTGTCAGCGACTCTCATTAGTTTCCCTCGATTATATGATTCCGTTAGTTCTCCGTAAGCAGCGACAATGACGTTCCTCTCGCTCGTCGTCCTAGTTTCACTCGTAGCCTCCGCCGCGATTCCCCCTTCCAGCGCCGTCCCCCTGCTCCCCTCGCAAGAGAAAGCGCTACTCTCCCTGAAAACCGCTTGGCGAAACTGCGTGGTAACCAAGACATGGATCGCCGGCACTGACTGTTCGAAATGGTCCGGCATCCTTTGCAACGACGGCGGGATGGTAACCCAGGTTTCCATCAGCGACCTCTCCTGCACCGGCTCGTTGACGGAATCCGTTGGAAACCTGACGGAGCTGACGCTGCTGGACGTTTCCAATAATTGGCGCATCGGCGGCAGCTTACCGAAAAGCCTCGCAAAACTGCAGAAGCTCGAGTCGCTCGGCATGATCGACAATATCCATGGAAGCCTCTCCGGCGGTCTCCCGAACTTCCTCGGGAAACTCGCGCGGCTCACGTACCTCGGCCTCCGCGGAACGGGCCTCACTGGGAGCATTCCGCGGAGTCTTGCGCGGCTGAGCCGCATCGAGTACTTCGATCTGCAATGGAACCGTCTCGAAGGCGAAATTCCCCCAGAATTGTCCAGCATGGCGGCACTTGGAGCGGCTGATTTCGGCGGGAATCGGTTGACCGGATCGATTCCTCCGACCTTCGCGAAAATCAAGGGCCTGAAGCGGCTGCTTCTCGGAAATAACAAGCTTTCTGGTGAACTCCCCGTGTCCGTTATACTCGCTATGAAGCGCCTCGAAGAGGTGGATTTGGGTAACAATCGCTTCACTGGTTCGTCTATCGCCGCGCTTGCCGCCCATCCGAATCTGACAGATATAAACCTCAGTTGGAACCTTCTTTCGGGCAAGGTCCCGTCCCAGTTCGGGCAGATGAAAAAGCTGGGGGGCCTGCGATTGGCTGGAAATAGGCTGAAGGGAACAGTCGCCGGGGCTCTACTAAAGAATATGCCGAACTTGCATACCTTGGACCTTTCGTTCAACAGGCTAGGAGGGGAGTTTCCCTGGGCACATTTGAAAACCACCCCGCTTATGGAGCACCTTGACCTGCAACGCAACGCGTTCATCGGCGCGATTCCCGCCGACGCGTTTCAGAAGGTCCACGTGGCGAGCTTCAACATATCCTTCAACCTCTTCTCCGGGCCCATGCCGAATCTAGGGTTCATGGGAGGAGAGGAGGAGCCGCCAGTAGACGTTCGCGGAAATTATTTCTGGGGCAGTCCGGAGTTTATAATGTCCAATCAGAAGGTCTGCCCGGAGGAAGGGCAGGCGGATCCAGGCTCAGGCGACAATGAGTATCTCGCGGCTCTGAACTGCCTCGGAAAGAGCGCCACGTGTAACATGAAACAGCAGCGCAGCTCGGCGGCGTGCAGTAGGTTTTGCGGGACGAGTGCGACGAATGGGCCGTGCTCGGGACATGGTGTGTGCGTTCCAGCAGGGAAGGGGCTATTCAAATGCAGGTGTGCGAGTGGGTACAAACCGGTGCAGGGAAAGCCGCACCAGTGCGTGAAGGCTTGAAGTTACTACTGTAGATCTTGATCTAGTAATAAGGCGCGTGGCGTGGGTGCGCGCTATGGTTGCTTAGGACTGTGATTGTCCTGAGCGGTTTTTGGAACATGCAGTTCCTTGTATATGTCAGAATAACGTAGAAACCTTGAAAGTTTAGCATGAGTGGCAGGGAGTTTGAAGCAGTTTGCTGTGCTCGCTTACGTGGATTTATGAGTAGCCAAATGAGGGTCGGTTTTGATGTTACCTCATATCGGGGTTTCATGTTGATGATTGTAGTATACTGTGCCATGATTCTCGAGGTTTAACGCTCCATTAGGTGCCGTAAATGGCATCAATTGTATGTCTAGTGGCCCTTATGAACTTCACATATGTTCCTTGTCTAAGTATGGACCGGCTAAAGGAAGGGCGGGGGAGTAGAGAGTGAAGAGGAGAGGAGGTACTTGCAAACGTTGGGGAGAAAGAGGGGAGAGTTTCAGCACTTGGTTGGTGCAGGCTTGCAATATATATCTACATTTGTGGGGCCACTGCATACGATGGTAAGGAGAGAACAAAGAGTGAGACAACAAAACACAAAATGAAGGCGGTTGTTAAGAAACTGAAATATGGTGCTCTGAGATTGCATCATGCCTTACTAATTACTTTCATGGGTGGTTGATGCTGCACAATCCGCTGCTTGAATACGCATATGATCTGGTTCTTCCCCTTATACACCACCGTCGCTATGCCTTCCCCGTCAGCCTTGCTACGGCCAAATCTGCACAGGAAAAAAAGGCAGATGTTGCGAAAGATGGAGCCTCTCGTGGACATTCGTCCTTGGATGACCGACAACATTTGCACTTGGGTCTTAAGTAAACGAGGATGGAATGGAAGATTGTGAGAAGAATATTCCATTCCATTCCATCTACGCGCCATCCTCACTTACACACCACTCACTCTTCATTCTCACAAACTCGCACACTCACTACTTGTTATCCCGCACCCCACCCTCATCACTACCACCCCTCATTATATTGAGGTACTTCATGATGACGCCGTTGGATGACGCCAGGTGCTTTGGCTGGCTAATGGCCAAGCGTGATGTGATTCTGATATTGTCTGCACTGTTCAAAATGTGGCGTAACTCTCTACATGCAACATGCCTTCCACGTTGACAATAATGACGTCTGAAAGGACCATAGAGCTGCAGCCATACCACCCCAAGAAAAATGCATCCCTGATGTGCCAAGCTGCCGGTTTTCGCCTCTACCGCCAACGCCACAATGGTATCAGATGTCACGTTCATGTGAAGAAGTCTGTATCCAGGGCAGAGTAAACGCGTGCATGGAGAGACACGGCATGAGGAAGCTAATGACTGTTGTGGCTCCGGTCTTCAACTGCAACAGAGGA